TTCGGGATCTGTAATTTGCTCGAGTTGCCCTCGTTTCCTCCTAGATCCATGCTCATGCGTAGCCATGCTAGAGAGTTGGTAGCGACTTATAAGATGGGATCGAGGCGACACCGACGTCAGGCTAGTGAAACCGGATATCAATTGAGGTTCTTGGCGCGCGTAGCCTAGCCTGGACGAAATCACCAGCGCCTGAAAACAAGGGCAGGAAACAAATGACGAATCCCCCGCTGCTAACGGCCCACCGTTGCGGGCCGCTATAGCTTCCCGCCGCCTTCGATCTCCTCGTACGAAAATGCCACCCGCGGCTTCCCACATCGTGCTATCCCTGTCCTCGCGCTTCCTTGCTTCCCAAATCCCCGCTTCCCGCTTTCGAAAGCACGTCCGCATCTCACCTTCACGTGCTGCAGCATCTCGCTGTCCCTCGCTTCCTTCCACCCGCTTTCACCCGCGTCCCGCCATCGCTTGCTCCCCGAATCCCGCTTTCCCATGCTCCTCGCATTACCTTGCTCCCCGCATTCCAATGCTCCTCGCATTCCCATGCTTCCCTCATTCCCATTTTCCCGGCATTCCCATGTTCCCCGCATTCCCTTGCTCCCCGCATCTCGCTTTCCCATGCTCCCCGCATTCCCTTGCTCCCCGCATCCCGCTTTCCCATGCTCCCCGCATTCCCATGTTCCCTGCATTCCCTTGCTCCCCGCATCCCGCTTTCCCATCCTCCCCGCATTCCCATGTTGCTCCCCGCACCCCGCTTTCCCATGCTCCCTGCATTCCCGTGTTCCCCGCATTCCTTGCTCCCCGCACCCCGCTTTCCCATCCTCCCCGCATTCCCATGTTCCCCGCATTCCCTTGCTCTCCGCATCCCGCTTTCCCATGCTCTCTGCATTCCCTTGCCCGCATTTCCTTGCTCCCCACATCCCGCATTCCCATGCTTCCCTCATTTCCTTGCTCCCCGCATCCCGCATTCCCATGCTCCCCGCATTCCCGTGTTCCTTGCATTCCCTTGCTCCCCGCACCCCGCTTTCCCATCCTCCCCGAATTCCCATGTTCCCCGCATTCCCTTGCTCCCCGCATCCCGCTTTCCCATGCTCTCCGCATTCCCATGCTCCCCGCATTTCCTTGCTCCCCGCATCCCGCATCCCATGCTCCCGCATTCCCGTGTTCCCCGCATTCCCTTGCTCCCCGCCCCGCTTTCCCATCCTCCCCGCATTCCCATGTTCCCCGCATTCCCTTGCTTGCTCCCCGCATCCCGCTTTCCATGCTCTCTGCATTCCCTTGCTCCCCGCATTTCCTTGCTCCCCACATCCCGCATTCCCCTGCTCCTCGCATCCCGCATTCCCATGCTCCCCGCATTCCCGTGTTCCCCGCATTCCCTTGCTCCCCGCACCCTGCTTTCCCATGCGTTAAAAGCCAGACTTCACCCCAAACCTATCCACTCACCTTGGACAACCTCTCCGTTAAAAGCCAGACTTCACCCCAAACCTATCCACTCCCCTGTGCATCTCTCAACAAACCACATTCTGTGGGTGATCTCCGTGCGGCCACGCATTCAGACATTCAGCCGTTATTGGCAAATGCTAACCATGTCTCTTCTCTAGCATCATCTACGACGGCTGCAGAAAATGGAAATTATGTAACCCTACATATGTGAACGACACCTTGTAACTGAGTTGGTCCAGGGTTGTAAAGCCAACTTGAATTTTGAGGTCGCAATTTCTCTCCCTCAAGTTTGTTACATTCTTCCTGCCACATATATATGTGACCTTTTCAGGTTATGAACGGCTTGTCGGTCGTTCTGTAAGAGTACATGAACTTGGCACCAATTTTGGCAACAAGAGTAGCTTTTTATCTTTAGCATAAAGTCATATTAGTCTAGATACATTCAGAAAGTCAAGTTCCCATGGAAAGCGATTTAATCTACTAAACAAATCCAAGACACACACTGAGATATATCGAAAACGTCTTAGCATATATAGTAACAAGTGTTGGCTACAACACCTCCATCCAACCACCAAGAAGGGCGTAGTCCAACGGAATCGGTGCAAAACACGGCTTTATGAAATTTGTGAATACCAAACTGAACCGAATTGAATCGCAAATTACAGCGTGCTATAGAGCGCGCGGATTCTGGGATCCAAAATTTCAGGTCCTATTTGCTTGATATTCGGGTCTGTAGAAACACGCCCCTATTCACAAAATGACGTGCTGACCAATCACACACCCTTTGCCCCCACCCTTCACCTGCAACCGAACCCAACAAAATTTATTCATCCAACTCAGCCCCTGCACCTCGTCCAACCAATCAAAATCTGCCAAGTGGTTCCAGAGCGGCTAATCCAGCTCAACCACCTGCTCGCCCCAACCACCCAGCCCACCACGCTGCACCCCACATGCCAGCACTCCAGCCCACCACACACTTCTGATCCCTTCCTTACTTGCCCCCTTGCGCCCTCTCATGCCTTCCAGCTAGACGTTACTTACAATAATAGCCCTCGGCAGTTCTATCTGCATCAGTTTCAGCTCCCATTCTCGCCTTCGCGCCCCCTAGTGAGCAGCTCCTTCCTCTCCCACAGGCTTCGATTACCATGGTCGTTCTTAGTGTGCCCTATGCTGAGGATCTCGTTTCACGATGGTCTATCGTTTCAAGCAGCTCGTAGGTGACTAGTCTTGTTCACCCATGTCATTCTTATCTGCATGTTCATGAGCTAATGCGCCATTGGGGGGCGGGAGAGTAAGGAGGGGCGAGGGGGAGGAGGCGGCACGCAGAAGCGGTATCTTCGGGAGGCGGGGCGCCTGGCGGAGTACCTAGATGCGCGCATGGAGGCGGCCACCAGGTGCGCGGACGCCAGCAGATGCGAGCACGGTGGTGAAACATCTCTTCCCTTGTTTCGCTTCTCGCCACTGTCCTTTTCCTCTCTCCTGTACTCGTTCCGTCTATGCCCGTCTCGATCCCCCTTTCGTGCCCTCTCTCCCTTTTCGCTCGTCCCAGCTGCTCTTTCTCCCCCTCGCCCCTGGAGCTGTGCTTGCCATGTGTGTGCTTGCCACGTGTGTGCTTGGCGCAGCAGTGGTGCGGCGCGACTCGTGCAGAGAGGCATGGCTAGTAGTGTGTGTGGGAAGGTGGAGGGGGCAGAGCGGAATGGAGAGCATCCGCTCTCGTGCACTCCCCTTCTCACGCGCATGCCCCATCCATCCGTCCATCGTGTGTGCGCTGCAGGTTGGGCGCAGCAGCAGCAGGCCCGAGGAGCAGTGAAGGGGGGCATGCTGGCGCCATGGGTGGTGCGCTGCCAGACGACGTGAGCGCCATGGCGTATGCGCACGACCTGCCACCCAAGGTGCATACATGTGCCTTGCTATATGCATGGCGGTGTGAAGCCATCCCTGGCAGCCCATCCGTGTGCCCTCTGTTCTGCCTGTTGCGTGCCCATGCCACCCCCTTTTGGCTCTTGCACGCCACGCCTCTCCATGCGACCTACCACTCTCCTTGCCTTTACTCACCTCTTTCTTTCACATGGCTGCATGGAATCACATGGCTGCATGGCATGGCATGGGCATGGCACATGGGTGCATGGCATCACATGGGTGCATGGCATCACATGGGTGCATGGCATCACATGGGTGCATGGCATCACATGGGTGCATGGCGTGGGTGCATGGCATCAGGTGCATCTGTGGCAGCACCACGAGTCTCTCTCCTCGCGCCATCTCTCCTCCTCCCTCGCCTCCCTGCACCGTTACTTCGACTACAGGTGAACAGTCATGGCCAGGCGGAGAGGGGGGGGTCATACAGGTGCCACGGATGGGTTGCTGGAGTAGAGAGCCCATGAGGGGCATTCGCAGGCACGTGCGAGTGTGGGGGGCAGTGGGACGGGCCTGCTGCATGACAGGGCAAGGAAGTGTGGGGGAGAGTGTGGCGTTCGCACGTTGATACGTGTGATCGTGTGAGTGTGCTGTGCACGCGTGGCCCTCATGGTGAGGCGGCCACGAGGAGTGCAGCCACCACGAGGAGTGCAGCCGCCACGAGGAGTGCAGCCTCCATTCTGTTCTTCCATGTCTTGTGCGCTCTTCCCCGACTCTTGCGCACACCGTCACTCCACCCTCCCGCTTCCGCCCCCTGCCACCCCCTCCTCTCTCCAAACAGTGCGGGCGTGACAGCGGTGGGTAGTCGCCCGGCGTCGGAGTGGTGGGCGGGGCGATTCCAGGCGGGGCTGCTGGTGGAGGGCGCCATGCACGCACGATACGGGCACACACAGCACGCCATGGGGGTATGAAGGCATTTGTTACTTGACGTATCAATCAAACTAATGATTCGCATGTGTACTCACGATGCTTGTCTTTATCGCAGCTAGCTATGTAACTCTGTCCAACATCGAGATAATTCCCCATGTAAGTCCAATTGTAAGTCTCGCTGGTCATTTGATCGTCGGACTAATTTCACAACAATGTCTCGTATGACGTGCAGAAATTTGTAGCCTACCACGAGCTATTTCCTCCGGTAAGCTGGCTCTTGTAATTGCTGTCGTATGGAATATAACTAATTTGATTACAATGTTTGAACCTAATGTGCAGGACTCAATATCCAGCGTCGCGCTACTTCGTTGTTGTAAGCATTGTCCTTATTGTTGGTGATTTCGACCTTGGATTAATTTCGAGATAACAAGTTCTGAACGTAACGTGCAGGAATTCCAATCCAGTTTCAAGAATTGCTGCTCCTGGTGTGCCGCCGCTCAGTTTCTCTTTGTGTTAGTGCGGGACCCACATAGGGGTGCTGGTAGGCAAGGGCGGTTGGGCCATAGTGGTTGTGTACTGTGGTGTAGATGTTTTTTTTAATACATCAAATAATTTGCTTGTTGCATTATAAGTAAATCCAAACGAGGCATGCCCTAATTGTACTGAACCATGCCCAAAAGGGTACTGCAGCCTGCAAAAACGGATCCATGAAAAACACCGCCAAACGTTTGCAACAAATCATGCTGAATACTAAAAATGGTGAGCATAAACTTCTCTATGCATTCACATGTTTACTACAAAAGTTGTAGAAAGAACAACGCCATGCATTTGTAAACGAACCACGGAGATTACCGAAAAGACACCTCTAAGCATTCGCTGTCGTGAACCAAAAAGTGTTTCGGGAAATGTTGTCAAAGCATTCGCCAAGTGTTCTAATCTAAGTCCGCCATGAATTTTCACCCACATGTTCGCAAAACGTTTGCAAAGCATTTGCGCGAATGCTACGCAATCGTTTTGCGAGCATACATTTTTTGCGATGCTGGCCCTCGGCAGCGAAAACACCTGCCCGCGCGATTAAATTCAGATTTATGGGAAAGGGCGTGTTTATACACATAAAACTAGCTAGCGCGCCTCGTTCGGGCTCGTTTGTTACCGAAGTTTGTCGACCTCGATTTTCGTGAAAAGCCAAGGCACGGCAATTTTCGTGAAAAGCTGTTCTCTCGCACGGGCGAGGGAGGATGAAAGCGAGCGAGAATTGCCAAATTCATGACAGAGAGAGGTTGCTGCTGCTGAGTGGTGCCAGCCTGGCGGGCACACTGACAGGGGTCCGAGCCAGCAGCCCATTCCCCCTCAGCAGCACCCTGAGCCCCATTGCCGCACTGCACCCTTTTGGTGCACAAACAGGGGTCTGTGCCAGCAGCCCATTCCCCCTCAACAGCACCGTGAGCCCCATTGCCTCACTGCACCCTTCTGGCGCCATTTACGGGACTTTGAGCCTGCAGCTTCTGCAGCTGCTGCACCAGGTGCTGCAGCTCCCACGCCTCCTGAGGCGTGCTCCCTGCTGCTCTGTTGGTGAATGGAGGAAACGGAGGAGCGGACAGAGGCTGACAGGAAGGGCTCAGGTAGCTGCGGCTATTCCTGCACATGGTGCTGCGGCTCCCACGCCTCCCCAGGGGCACTTCCTGCTCATCTGTTGGGTAACGAGGGAAAAGGTGCAGAAATGGTTGGCCAAGAAGCACGTTGCAGCCTGCTGCTGAGCCGACAGCTGGTGGACCAGGTGATGGGGCTCCCACACTTGCTGAGGCGCACCCTGCTGCTGTGTACAACGCCAGGAAGAAAGGAAAGGGAAAGGAAGGGAAGCGAAGGAGAAGATAGGGAAGAGGGGAGAAGAGACAGGAAGGGAAGGAGGGGGAGGGGGGGAGAGCATGGACTATAGGTAAAGGGATTCAGCCTTCCATCAAGAGTTGCTAGGCTCCCGGACCTGCTGGGGAGTGGGGAAGCCCGCACGTACGGTTCATCTCTTACCCAGATGTACGGGTCATCTCTTACCCAGATGTACGGGTCACCTCTTACCTGGATGTACGGGTCATCTCTTACCCGGATGTACGGGTCATCCCTTACCCGGATGTACGGGTCATCTCTTACCCAGATGTACGGGTCATCTCTTACCCGGATGTACGGGTCATCTCTTACCCAGATGTACGGGTCATCTCTTACCCGGATGTACGGGTCATCTCTTACCCGGATGTACGGGTCATCTCTTACCTGGAATTCGGCTAAGAAGCACGTTGCAGCCAACAACTGGAGCACCCGGTGCTGGGGCTCCCACTCTTGCTGAGGCGCGTCCTCTGCTGCTGTGTAAGACGCCAGGAAGAAAGGGACGGGAAAGGAAGGGAAAGAACGCAAGAGAAAAAATGGGAAGGAAAGGAAGGGGAGGAAGGGGAGAGCAGGGAATAGGACCAAGTGCTGTGGCTCCAGGCCTTGCTAGGGGTTATGGAAGCCCGGCTTACAGTTCATCGTTTACCCGAATTTGCTGGGGGGTGCTTACAACTGCACCGTAGGGTGAAGGGGGGAGGGTGGCGAAGAGCAGGTGACGCATTGAAGTATACATATTTTTAACGCTCATGAGGAAACAACTTCCCCACTAACCCTCACCTCACCCACAGCATTCTCTCGAGCCTACACAATCCCTGCCAGTGCTGTTCTCGCCCGCTCCCACTCCCCCAAATACAGTAATATTTATCCCCTGAAATATCTCCGTTTTACACTCCCCACTAACCCAACCCACACTCACATCATGCTCACACTCACCACATTCCCATCATCCTCTCAAGCATGATGTGCCGATGTCCCTGCCAGTGCTGCTGTCACCATCGTCCCTGCCAGTGCTGTTCTCGTCCGCTCCCTCTCCTCCTTGCCTTCCTGGATCCGCCCCTCCAGCCCTGCCACGTGGCTCTGCTGCCTCATCACCTCAATCCGACGTGCCTGCACCAATCGCTGCCTCTCCTTCTCAAACCCAGCAGAGGCGGAAAAGGGGGGGAGAGGGATGTGCAGGGAGAAGGGTGAGTGTGGGGGCAGGGTTTGGTGGGGGCGAGCACCGGATGTGAACAGGACGCAAGGAAGTGGCTGTATCATCACCTCCCTCAGATGCACCTGCATCATCCACTGCCTCTCCTTGTCAAACCTAGGGCAAACGCAGGGTACGATTCAGCATTCACAACGGAAGGCGGGGCACTTCAAATGCTGAAGCAACCCGATCTCGAATCTGCCACGTCATCACCTCCCCACATGCGCCTGCACCAGTCGCCGCCTGTCCATGTCAGGCATATGACAGCGAAGCACAGCGCAGAAAGCCAAGCATGGAATGGGAGGAGGAGAGTCAACTTTGCGTTAGTAGAATGGCTGTGTTGGTAGAATAGTTGTGTTCCTAGAATAGTTGTGTTGGTAGAAAAGCTGTGTTGGTAGAATAGTTGTGTTGGTAGTCTATTATACCCGCGAGAATGGGATGGCACAGCGAACAAAGGGATGGGTGGAATGGGGTCAAATGCGGTGAGGGTTGGGGTCCGATGAGGTGAGGGTTGGGGTCAAAGGAGGTGAGGGTTGGGGTCCGATGAGGTGAGGGTTGGGGTCAGATGAGGTGAGGGTTGGGGTCAGATGAGGTGAGGGTTGGGGTCAGATGAGGTGAGGGTTGGGAACAGATGAGGTGAGGGTTGGGGTCAGATGAGGTCAGGGTTGGGGTCAGATGATTTGAGGGTTGGGTTCAGATGAGGTGAGGGTTGGGGTCTGATGAGGTGAGGGTTGGGGTCCGATGAGGTGAGGGTTGGGGTCAGATGAGCTGGGGGTTGGGGTCAGTTGAGTTGAGGGTTGGGGTCCGATGTGGTGAGGGTTGGGGTCAGATGAGCTGGGGGTTGGGGTCAGTTGAGTTGAGGGTTGGGGTCCGATGAGGTGAGGGTTGGGGTCAGATGAGGTGAGGGTTGGGGTCAGATGAGGTGAGGGTTGGGGTCAGATGAGGTGAGGGTTGGGGTCCGATGAGGTGAGGGTCGGGGTCAGATGAGCTGGGGGTTGGGGTCAGTTGAGTTGAGGGTTGGGGTCAGATAAGGTGAGGGTTGGGGTCAGATGAGGTGAGGGATGGGGTCAGATGAGGTGAGGGTTGGGGTCCGATGAGGTGAAGGTTGGGGTCCGATGAGGTGAGGGATGGGGTCAGATGAGGTGAGGGTTGGGGTCAGATGAGGTGAGGGTTGGGGTCAGATGAGGTGAGGGTTGGGGTCAGATGAGCTGGGGGTTGGGGTCAGATGAGTTGAGGGTTGGGAACAGATGAGGTGAGGGTTGGGGTCCGATGAGGTGAGGGTTGGGGTCAGATGAGGTGAGGGTTGGGGTCAGATGACGTGAGGGTTGGGGTCAGATGAGGTGAGGGTTGGGGTCAGATGAGGTGAGGGTTGGGGTCAGATGAGGTGAAGGGTTGGGGTCAGATGAGGTGAGGGTTGGGGTCAGATGAGCTGGGGGTTGGGGTCAGATGAGTTGAGGGTTGGGGGAACAGATGAGGTGAGGGTTGGGGTCCGATGAGGTGAGGGTTGGGGTCAGATGAGCCCAGAACCCTCTGAAACTCGTCCCTCTGAAGCACTTCCATCAGCCCTTGTTGTAGGTGGTATCAAATGCTTTCTTGTGAGAGCTGCATTGTGTTTTGTGGCGATGGTGATTAGGACTCTCTCGTTGGAACTCGTCCCTCTGAAACACTCCTCTTTCACTGGAATGACAGGTGCACATGGCATTTCCACATTACCAGCAACACCACGTCATGCCATCACGACTCGCTTCACAAAGGTACGGAAAGTATCTGGAGTAGACAAGGACACTTGGCAACTTGGGTTGGGACGTGAGGAGGACCCGTGAGAGACCAGTGCTCACGACTCACTCCAATCCACCTCATGGCACTTATTGCAAACCCAGGCATACACCGGGGCCTGTAGTGCTTACTCATTCCTCAGCCCAGCGGAGGTAACTGAGGAATGACTAAGCATCAAACCCTAAACTGAGATGTCGCCCTAAACCCTAAAATAGGCTCCATACAGCCAGTGCTTATGCATTCCTCAGCTCAGCAGTGAACTGTTGATGCAACAAGAAGAAACGAGAAGAAATATTAGGGGCTGACTTGCATGCCATGCCATGCCACGGACGAGAAGGGAAGAAGGTCACATCCCACAGCCAAGCACGAGCTCACCTTTCCTTGGTTCTTCTGAAACGATATTGAGTTGATTCCCGTGTGAAGGTGGGTCCCTTTCACTGCACAACACATGCACACATGACTCTGTCAGCACAGCACCCTTTCCCCAAAGCAATTTATTTATTCCCACTGCCATTGAAAGGCGAACCAACTCACCGTATCCACCGATTTTTCCATTGAACGCCATCCACTTGTTTCGCCCCTGAAACAGCTTCGCACGGTCCGCATTGGGCATGGTGGCAGACATCTCGCTCTTGACGTGAACAAACTCAAACGCAGACTGTGGGCTGTCAAAGGGTGCCCATGTGGTGCCTCCGTTGCCAGTGTTATCGCACACACCCATATGGCAATTGAAATTATCGCCTGTAAAATGGCGAGACGAATAGAGCAGCCAGGAGATTTAGCTGATGCGTTGAAAAAAGTGCGAGATACGCGTGTCACATGAGCCACTCACCGGCTTTAGGGTAGTGCTCATGATTTTCCTGCGAGACATACACAATCGGGTGTGTTCCCAGCACTGTGGCAAAGTTCTTTGCCCTGCTGTCCGCCCAGTCAGCCCCGGTGTCCCACGCCCACACCGGCCCGTCGCCATGCTGCGCGTACCAAATGCGCTGCGGCTGCCCCGTCTTGGTGAAGCGGATGGCGATCGCCACAAGGTCGGTGACGTGGTTGTAGATTCCAGCAAGGGAATCGTAGAAGACGTAGTTCTGCAAATGTGAGGGAGAAAGGCGGAAGATTTTAAATCTTATGTATGGAGTGACACCTTTTCACAAAGAAAGGGTGAGGAGGAACGAGGGAGGGGGGGGAGGGAGGGAGCAAGGAAGGAGAGGAGGAGATAAGTGATACCTATGTACTCCATGGAATACTTACGTAAGGGTTGAACATCCAATACTGGATCTCCACAAACGAGTCTTTGTCGTCGGGCTTTGGATCATAGATGATCGTGTACACCTTGGTGCCTCCATTTGCCGGGTTGCGCCCCGAGTCCTTCACCCAGTCCGTCTCCTCATCAACCTCTCCTGCACACACCAGGGCAGTATAGCCCTGCTCGGTCTTCAATGCCCCATCGGAAAGCAGCGTGTCGAGGTTGGTGGGAGTGACAGGGACCGGCTGGTTGTATGTGATCTGATCTTCCCATCCCGTTTCAAACGTGCTGCCCACGCACCCTGTCACGTGGGTGAGGTACTCATCGATCGTGATTGGCCAGATGGTCTCTTTTGGGTGAAACTTGAACTGTGGGGAGTACTTGACAGCCACATCCTCCCAGTACTTGTCATACTCGGCGCACACCGGGTTCAGCTGCGGGTCAAACAGGCACGGGGGCACTGTTCCCGCAGCCATGGGCGGGTTGGCGTTGCGAACCAGCATGGCGAACTGGGCCTGGAACCACCGGCCAGCACGTGGCGCATCAGAGAGGGCGTCCACGCCCAGGGGGTCGTCGGGGTTGCACTCGCGATCCACGGGGGTGTGGTCGATGTGAGCTTTCTGAATGGCATGCGCGGGGAGGGAGGACGAGCGGAGAGAAGAGCTGTAAAGACAGCATAGCACAGCCGGGGGTGTCCAATCTGAAAGATAACCCAAAGGGAAAGGGAGACGGTGCAGGTCGGACCGTCCCAGGACGGGGTGAGGGGCAGCAGTACTCGGAAACTTACGAGTGGCCGTCGCTCTCCCCAGGCGGCTTGATCCAGACAAGAGCATCAACTGTCGGCAGATAAAGAGGTACGGCGTGTGGGGGAAAGACAGAGTCAGTAGCATGAGTCAAACCACACACGGGGGACGGCATTTTAACCAGAACCACTGGAGGGAGAGAGAAAATAAAAAGCAGAAACGACAAGAAGCAGGATGAAAGTGATGTGCACACCTTGGGGCGCATTGGCGGGATTGGCCCTGGGGCGTGAGTGATGTGAGTGAGGTGGGTGATGTGGGTGATGTGAGTGATGTGAGTGATGTGGGTGATGTGGGTGATGTGAGTGATGTGAGTGATGTGGGTGATGTGGGTGATGTGAGTGATGTGAGTGATGTGGGTGATGTGAAGGATGTGGGTGATGTGAGTGATGTGGGTGATGCGAGTGATGTGGGTGATGCGCGTAATGTGGGTGATGTGGGTGATGTGAGTGATGTGACTGAAGTGAGTGATCCCCACACCTTGCGGCGCATTGGAGGGATTGGCCACGGGGCGCTCTCCGATCCCTGCGTTCTTCACATTACACCAGGAGCCCCAGCGGTTGCGGATGCCAGCTCGGCCGGACCGGCTGGTGTCAACAATCCACCGCGTCGGCAGCCCCGCTGCTGCGAGGTAGGCGTTGAGGCGGGCAGTGAAGAGGTGCTCGCTGATGCACGGGTTCCAGTCGTAGTTCATCTCGCCCGTGCTCGGGTTCTTGGCCAGGGGACACTTCTCCTTGGCGGGGCAGCCTGAGGCGAAGAGCGGGCTGTAGTTGGCCACGTTGGAGGCAAACCCGCGGATCTTGGCGCTCGCTTTCATCTGCCTGGCGCGGGCCAGCACCTTCTTGTACACCGGAATGACCCTCCTCATGCCCTCCGACCACCCTGCACATGCCAAGCATTGCGTGGGGAAGGGGGTGGGAGTTGTGAAACGAAGCGACGCAAACAAAGTTACAAGAGGGATGGACAGAATGAAAAGGGTTGGAGCACTGGGGTGCCACCCACTCACATGCGCACTCACACGCGCACTCACATGCGCACTCACACGCGCACTCACATGCGCACTCACACGCGCACTCACATGCGCACTCACACGCGCACTCACATGCGCACTCACACGCGCACTCACATGCGCACTCACACGCGCACTCACACGCGCACTCACATGCGCACTCACACGCGCACTCACATGCGCACTCACACGCGCACTCACACGCGCACTCACATGCGCACTCACACGCGCACTCACATGCGCACTCACACATGCACTCAGATGCGCACTCACACATGCACTCACTCACACGCACACTCAAACTCACCGATCCAGCCGCCGAAGCCGGAGTCGAGGTACAGCGTGGTGTCGGGGATCTGCGAGAGCTCCGCGATGGCATACGCCACGCCCTCCGTGTAGTCCCTCTCCGACGTCGCGTCGCACCGGTTGCTGCCCATGTTGGTCGCCCCAAAAATTAGGGTGGCAAATTGTTACCCCCAAGACTACCGCAAGTGACCTTGGGATTTCGCGCCAGGGGGTGACCCTGGGGCTTCCGACTGGGTCACCTCGGGAAAACTAGCGGCCAGAATGCATTTCGAGGTAACCCTCAGGATACCCTCGTGAGGTCACCCTCGCGGCACCAACTTGACGCCTTCGGGTGCATCGGGGGGATCGTGAGGTGAACCTTTTGAGGGGTTCTTATCCCCGTCAAACTGTGAATGCGTTTGGGTGAAGGAGTACACTCGGGCGAAAACATGATGAACCTTATACGCAAGCCAATAGCACACCCAATCCTCGTCACTAGCGCCCCGATACGGAAAATCACTACAGTGTATATATCAACTGTTTAATTACCTCCATGGATACTAGCACAGCCACTACATTAACGGGTTTATTTGTAACTACGACTTTACTGTAGCTCAAAGGGCAGCTTCGTTGCGTCCCATCATAGATGTCATTAATATGCACATATAATTATTCCAAAGCTTGGCTCACCACGAATACAATTATTTTTATCACAACACAAATCATGCAAAACAAGGTGATTAATTAAGCTGCAATTTCCTAGAGTTTGGCGCAGATTAATTCTCCTCCTTACGCCAACTTGGTGTATTAGCTACGCAAGCACCTCTTTCTGGGCCTGCACGGATGCCTGCCAGCCAGAAGGCTGAGCTGTAAAACCACAATCACGGCCCAGCAAACAACAGCAAGCACTGCTGCTGCATGGCCATCTGGCTGGTAGCCGCTCGCTGCACACACGAACATTATCAAGCACAATATCAGGTAAAGAGGGGGGGACAAAGAGGATGGCGAGGAAAGAAGGGGAGACTAAGGCTGTAAGGTAAAGAACATGAAACAAAGTGCCGGTCAAAGTTGTGGGGAAACAGAGTGCGGCAAGAAGGACGGTAGGAGTGGTGGTTGGGGGAGGGGGGGGGGGAGGGGGGGAAATGACGAGAAGGATCCGGGCACGAGGGGGGCAATGGGGAAGTGCTACAACTGTACCTGAATACGGTGAGGAGCCTCTTGAGCTTGACAAGGACGCGCGACGAGCACCGCGAGAAGCTCGCGCGTCTCACCCGAAATGCACCGGGATCCCCTCATGCGTCCCGCCCAAAGTGCATCGTGAACGCTCACGCGCCCGACGTGCACCGCGAGAACCTGCGCGAAAGGCTTAGGGGAACGGTAAGGATGGAAAATACGGGAGGAAGATTGGAAAACGAAAAAGCTCTTGGGAATAGAAAACCTACGTAGAACAAGCACACACGAGGAAGAGCATCTGGGAAAAAATTTCGCGATACTGAGGATTAGACAGTTACGGTTGTGCATGTAGCTGAAAAAAGCATACTACGCAGCGTTGGGCACGTATCTGTCTCAGTAGAATGCTTGTGCGGGAAGAACGTAGACTAGCAGAAGGGAGGAAAAAGAAAGAAAACGGGTTTTGTTGGTTGAGTCGGCAGTATATGTGTGACTGGGATTCGTTGACACAGCTAGGTGTTCATATCTGGGCTGTATACATTACGTAGAATGGAAGCCAGATTTCGTACGAAAAGAGAAACGAAAACGAGTAGTTTCACATCACGTAAACCGTGTGTTGATGGTGCAGAGATTTTTTTGTACCTGAAGCCCAGTACGCTGAACACGGCCCACAATATTCTGGATGCACGGACGACCTTGGATAAGTCGAGAAAATGACCAATGGGTATGAACTTAGCGATGCATTCATTGGTCAGCTCGTCGAGGCTGACCCATCACTTTCATACCCCATAATACAGGTTTCGTCAAGAGACAAACGCCATTCTCTTGTTCTGTCCAACATATTCGATAGTTCTTCACCCAAATCGCTTTCCCGAGGGCTCTTGAACTTGTCGTCTAGCCTGAGGGTTCAGGCTCGACTGGTGTCTTGGTTCGGGCCCAACCTGTGAAGTTACCTGAGGGTCACCTCGAACCGAGATTCAGCCCTATTGGCTGGTCGGGTCCCACGCGACACGTACCGAAAATCTGGCGAACTTCGTACGCGTCGCCACTACCCGCAGGTAACCCCGAGGTGTCTTGCGTGGATCTTTGGGTAGTCTGGGGTGGGGTTACCCCACGGGTGTCCCACACTCCAAAAGAAAGAATGGGTCTCGAGAAATTTGGGATGGGCCCTGGATGGAGTCCAGGGACCAAATGGTGTCCAGCCACACGGCCGTCGGATTCTCCGCCACGCTCGCGAAATACGGCGCCTCCTCGCGTCTGAAAATGGCTGACTTCACGCTCTCCGCGTATTTGGGGTTGAGGTACTGCTGAACGCCCGCGTACGGGTTGCCGGTCGCGCCGCTGTCGCTGACGCGGTAACCGCACGACGTGCCGCTGGCGGCGACCAGCTCGGTTGTGTTGATGGCGCCCTTGAGCCAGCACGTGCCGCCGTTGAAGGCCGACCACGTGAAGTGCGTGCAGTCCGCGCGGGCCAGGCAGCGCGTGCCGCACGTGTCGCCCATGCCGGGGCGCGCGGCCAATGTCGTTGCCGGTCCAGTCGCAGTCGAACGACCACTGCACTCGCCCGCCCTCGGAGCTCGCGAAGCTGAATGCTGACGTGGCCGTGAGCTTCGAGCTGAGGGCTACCAGCACCGCTAGTATCAGTACCACTGGCGGTGCCAATGCAGTCGAAAGAAAATGCGCAACCCCCATTGTCAGTTGGTTCGTTGGTCGGTCGGCTTGGTCGGTTGGTTGGTGGCTGTTTGTTTCGAGGTTGGAATGAACGAGTGACGGCAAACTCACGGGACCGTCGCTTTTGAACGGAGCCAGCACTAGCTCGGTTCGGAGGCACGCTTTGATCGAGCCGCGGCCACACTTCTCTTGTTCTGCTCTGCCTCGCTACGATTGGTGGCATGGCTTCTCGCGATTATTGGTGGCACCACGCCTTGGGTTGTGCCGCCAATAATGGTGAGTACAGCGGGTATGCCATTAGGTCCACGACATTTTACTCCACGTAATACTCCAAGGTCCGGAATTCGATAAGATCGGCCACGATGTACTCCGTCTGTACGGTACATCTACTGTTGACTTCGCTAAAAAAGTGCAATAAAACATTGTGACCAATCACGACAATCGCATAATGCCACCGACCATCGAGTCGCGCCACCCGAATTGGGTGCGATCCTAGCATGCGAGTTTCGCCAACCAACCCGCGCGTGCGAGCTCGGAAATTTATCGTGAACTGTGCTTGGAATTGCGCGGCCAATACGCGCTTGCCAGGGCGATCAGACGTAATCCCGACGGACCGGGGGGCGGCAGCTAGCTGGTACCCCCGTTCTCGTGTCAAGAACATGCGAGGCGTTTTCCATGTTTTATAACCAATGACGTAAATATTCAGGCTTTCTGCGTGACACGAACAGGTCCGTCCCGAATACGAAAACACGACCCACGGTCCATCAATTACCATTAACCAATGCACATTTCGAAAATGTTTTTCTTAAATGGTTTTTTTTCACCTTTGTGAAAGTGTGTGATTGGTTAACGAAATTACCCATGCGAGTCGTCATAATTTCGTTACGTTAAGCCCTTTTCGTGAGACCACAAAAAGGGTTTTTCAAATTTTATGATTTGCGCGTTTTGAGCATGCGCTGCTTGCGGAAGGTCGAGAACGAGGTGTTACTTCTATTGTCCAAAGTAATTCAGACCAGACGACAAATTTTCTGAACGTTTTTTAAGAAGCCACATGAGCCCTCACATGACAACGCGGCGAAGTCGCTGGTAACCTGACCCTAGGGCCAATACGCCAAGGCACCCATCGTGAACAGAAATAGTAAAACGACCTACGCCACCCCACCTAAAACCGTACGTGCTACTCGATAATCCATTTTGCCCATAGTGAACCGCTCTTATTCGTCGTAGTCCATATTTGCGAGTCGCGGATTTGGAGCATAGAGAATACCCCCTGTATAGGTGAGTCGGGGGTCTCACGTGGAGGCCGTATGCCCCTTCGCAAGTTTTTTGCTCAAACCTATGTGCTCCGTCACAAAAAAAAACGCCTAGCGAGAGGTCAAAATAGTGAAGGCGGGTCCAACTTGAAAAGGCCCAGACGTCCGTTTTTTGCGACTAAGGGACAGAACTGCGATGGGGCAGAGGGGTACACAGTCGAGAAATGCAAGCAGGGGAAACTGGGCGAGAAGATGCAGTTACCTGATTGGTTGGCGGGGAAAACATGTCGTACGGTGGGGAAAATGGCTCGAGCAAAATCGCAAGCAGCGCGCCACCTGTCGCCCAGCCCCCAACTGCCTGTAAGCTGCACCAAGTGGGCCCAACTTGAATTTCAAGTTGGACCCGGGTTCACTCGCTACACCAGCAAAACTGAGGCTGGGCCCCCATTGGTCGAAATGCTAACCACGAAATCTATGGTCGTAAAATTTGTCGCCAGTGCGAAATGTCGCAAGCGCAATTCGATTTCGTGGCCTATGGCTTGGTAAACAAGGCTCGACGCCAATGCGTCGTTAGGGTTGCGTAGCTGTTGTAAGGAATTTTCCATTCCTTACCGAGCGGTACTGCTAGCGCGTACGCTCGAATACACCCGAAGCCTCGGGACTGTTCCAGGCCTTCTGACAGAACCGCGTCGGCTTTCTCCAGACCTTTCGGTTCGACCTTCGGGAGTTCTCCGGGCCTCGCTTCGTCCACTTCGAGACCCTTCGCTCTCCTTCCCGAACCTTACCATCGCATGGTTAGACTAGCTCTGGTGTTCCTGTATCTTGGCTTGCCATTCCTTGTATCGTTATTCATTGAGTGAACACTTCGTTATTCAATTTCCGCGCTACTCCGCTTGTTGATTCATAACAGCTATTATGATTTAGAAGATGTCAATGTACTCTAACATGAGAATACAAGGTCGCTATCGCAATGAAAGCACGAGGTTATATAGGAGTAGACGTAATAGGGCGATAACCTCGGGACGTGGGTTAGGTTCGGCAATGTGGCGACGCTGTCGGCGCGACTCGAGACATGGTTGGGTCGAAAATGTAGGCCGAACGTGACGAGTCGAAGTGGTTTCGGGTGTACGCGGTAGCGGGCGACTCAGTAAGGAATGGAAATTCCTTACACTACCGCGCCCTTCTAACGAGTCTGTGGGTATCGGAGACGTTGCGACGCTGATAATAC